GGATCTGGCTGGCTGGAGACCATGTGCCGCGGATACCGGGCTTTATCTCGACCGGCTCTCGTCGTTACATGAAGTGGCAGAATCTAGCGTTGGAAGCGATAACAGACACCCGATCTGAAGAAATAGAGACCAAGATTCCCCCGGTGCCTGCGGTGGAGCGGCCAAAGTATGAAACTCCACGCATACCGAAGACGACGTTGATCCAGTGTCGGAAGGTCGAGGCGAGTCAGGATCAAGATATTCCTGACTGCCCATCCTCGGACGAGTCGCCGTCGGACAAGTCGCCGTCGGACAAATCGCCGTCGGTGATTCAACCGTTGGATCTAGCGTCTGTCGCAAGTGAGGAGTCGGATCTGTCGTCTATCGCAGATGAAGACTCTATATCGCATGCTGTAACGGTCAAGGAGGCGCTAGAAGATCTCGATCAAGTGACGCCAGACGTGTGGGCGACTAATCCGTCGTTGGAAGAAACTAAAGGTGTAGTGGAAACGCGAGAAGAAGAAGGTCGAGACGGAATTGGGGTCGCCAACCAGGATCAACTACATTCGAGAGGTCAAGATCACAAAACATCACCGTCGAAGTGCGGTGGATCTGATCCGTCATCAATGATGAGTGTACGATCTGGGACGGGACATGTGGTCAGTGATCCGTTTAACAAGTGCGCCGCATCTATGTCGCAAAAAACGGACATGGATTCATCACCTGTTGTTGAAGATCAACCAGGCGCGTCGGATCTGGACCCCACCTGGGACTCTGATCAAGATTATGATGAATGTGTATACTACCATGAAGGAAGTGATCTGTACGCGGAAGATGTCGACGGTCAGATGGCGGTACAGCCAGAAGTGCCTGTGAGGACGGAAGATGTGAAGATCGAGGACATCCAGCTATGTGGATCGGATAACCAGACCCCAGAAGAAATTGATCGACTTCGCCAAAGGATGTGGAAGTTCCGACACCTCTTGATCGGTAAAGGAAATGTCCTTCCGCCGGCGGCCAGAGGTGTCGTATGCGATATTGATGTCGGAGGAGCGAGGTCTATCGCCCTGAAGTGTCGTAAGTTGCGGAGCCAGTTCAGGGAGAAGCTGGCGGACTTGATCAAGGGTCTGTTGTCTGTCAAGATGGTCAATTACTCTAGATCGCCATGGGCCTCCCCGATCGTGGTGATCATCAAGAAGAACGGAGTGGATATCAGGTTGTGCATTGATTATCGGTTGGTTAACAGCCTAACTCAACTGATGATCTACCCAATGCCCTTGATCAACGACTTACTTGAAGATCTGGAGTCGACACTTTGGTACTGTTCTTTGGATATGGCGAGTGGATTTTGGGTAGTGAAAATGACGGATCGTGCTCGTTTGATCTCGGCTTTTATCACTCCTTTTGGGTTATTTGAGTGGAGCCGAATGCCTTTTGGCTTGAAGAAGGCGCCCCAGATCTATCAACGTATGATCGATAACGCGCTATATGGATTCACCCGGATCCCGAAGTCTGAAGATCACGGAAGTACTTTGGGTGTGTTTGAAGACGGGGAACCGGTGGATCCAGACAATCCATCGGTGCTTGGGCGTAGATCATATATCGATGATATCCTGATCCCAGCCAATAACTGGGATCAACTATGTGATCGAGTTGAAAGTTTACTCGAAGCGTGTGATAAGTGGAATCTATCGATCAACGTGGTTAAGAGTTTTGGGGAATGCCTAAAGTGGAGTATCTCGGCCACAAGGTCTCTCACCATGGACTGGAGGCGAACCTCGAAAGATCTGTCGGCGTTGACTGATCTAGCATTCCCCTGATCACTTAGAGCCATGCAGTCGTTTTTAGGAAGTCTGAACTATTACAGCCGATTTATCGAATACTACGCGATCTACGCGTCAGTTCTGTATGAATTACGAGAAATCGACTTTGCTACGATGATGAAAAAGACCACCCAAGCACAGATCCAACAAGTGCTGGAGGCGGAGAAAGTGAATCCAGGATCGCAGGAGGGCCAGGAGATCGATTACCAAAAGACTCTTGCTCCGGAGGCGCAGGACCTCACTGGAGTGGATCCACGTTGGATCCATGCCTACAGATCTTTCAGCGTGCTTAATTAAGTCCAAAATCGCCACTACCCCGATCTTACGACACTTTGATCCAGATCGACGTGCTCCGGTTGTGGTGTTGGCTAGTGACTGGGCTATTTCAAGATCGCTGATACAGGAGTATACTATCCCCTGATGTTTGTGAGCCGTACCCTGAAGTCGAGTGAGTTGAATTATGGTATCGCGGAAAAGGAGGTGCTAGCCTTGCTGCGGATCCTGGATCTTAACTATAATGCCTTGGTCAAACGTCCGATCCAGGTGTTGACCCGACACTCTACTTTGGCGTGGATCTTCAGATCCACAGCCTTGCAGCGCCAATTAAGCCAGTGGGCTGCCTTGTTGTTGCCCTGGACTTTCAAGATCACCAAGTGTGTCAAGGGAAAGGACGAGAGCTTAGGAGCATTGGCAGCCAGTATTACCCCTAGCTCTGAAGTGGATAAGGCATTGATCTAGATTGCCCCGAAAAAAGGAACCGCGACGCAAGATCTAGGCCCCGATTCCCACTATTCGACGCGATGAGGAGCTATATGCTGTTAGTTTCGATGGATCTGCTCGTGTCAAAAGAGGTGGAGGCGCCTACAGCGCGATCTTGTGGAAGCTGCCGGAATGGAAGGTGTTGAAGGCTAGATCTGGATACGCCGAAGGCTTGACAGTGAACGAGGCGGCATACCATGGATTCTTGCTATGTTTGGATCTGTTGGAAGATCTGGATCCACGAAGTCTAGTGATCTGCGAAGACTCGAACCTGGTGACCCGACAAGTACGAGGTGAGATCGATTGTAAAGCACCGGGTTTGACATTGCTGCGCCAGCGGGCTCTGGATCGACTACGTGTTTGGCCAGATCATGAGCTGTTACATGTTAAACGAGATTAGAACGGGAGTGCTGACAGCTTAACAAGCGCTGCACTGCAGCGACAATGTGGGATCGAGGTGGAGTCTGAGAAGGAGATCCAGGATCTAGTAGCCCTGAACCGGTTGGATGAGATCCTGATAGTGAAAATCGAAGACGAGGTCGCCCAGATATCTGCTGTAACGATCCGATCTAAAGTCAGATCTGGAGTACGTATGGGATCTGATCCAAATTCCTTGCGCGAGGAAGTTGTAAGAGTACTGCGGATCGAGCGGATCCGGCAAGCACTAGATGAGGAATCATGGATTTCAGGGCTAAAGCAGTATTTGGTCGGAGAGATCCGAGACCTGACACAAGAAGATGCTAAGGTATTTGGATCTATTGCCATAAATTACGAAGTGGATCAGTCGGATCTACTCCTCTACTGCCCGACGACTAAGGAGGCTGCCGCAGATCGAGACAAGTTGATGCGATTGGTGGTGCCAGAGACTCTTCATCAGGACATTTTGCATCACTACCACACGAGCTTGCAGGGCGGCCATCAAGGTATCGGTCGTACCTACGATCGGATCCGCGATCACTTCCACTGGGGAGGGCTGTATAAGAGTGTACAGCGATATGTGGGAGAATGTGTCGATTGCGAAACGGGCAAAGGACGACCTCGGATCCAGGGTGAATCACCTGGTAACCTTCAGGCAACATACCCATTCCAGATCATCGCCATGGATCACATCCCTTCATTGCCTAGATCATTCAATGGCAACATAGAGCTGTTGATCTTCGTGGATCTATTCTCTGGATATGTGACCGCCAAGGCCAGCGCCTCTAGATCTGCACAAACGGTCGCTGAGACTTACGAAGAATGCGTTTTCCGCAGATTTGGTGCGAGCGAGGTGATCCGGCATGATCGAGAGCCAGGTTTAATGTCTGACTTCTTTAAGTCCTTCAACAAGATCCTGGGTCAACGTCAGCGTGCTACTATGGCCTATCGACGCCAAGCTAATGGATCCGCCGATCGTATGGTCCAGACGACCACCAGGGCTCTTAAGATGTATGTGCAGGATCTGGATCAACGAGATTGGGAAGAATATGCCGAACGGCTCACCTTCGCGATCAATAGCGCAAGAGATCGGATCCGAGGTGAAACCCCGTTTACATGATACACGGTTGAGATCCTAGATCCACTCTGGAAGCGGTAATCCCGGTGGGGAGCACTCGCAGGCATGATCGAAATCCAAGAAGATGGCGGTACCGGATGCAAAAGTAATACCAACACGCCCGAGAACAAGTGAACCAACGTTTACGCGAAGCAATCGCGGATCGGGCCGACACACATAATGATCTGGTACGTCCTCATCTTGTGGAGTCTGGATCAAGAGTCTGGTTGTACTTGGATCGAGTGCGTGAGGGATATGCAAAGAAGCTGGCGCATTTATGGCATGGGCCATTTCGCGTAGCTGAGAAGATCGGGGAATATGCAGTGAGGTTGGAGATCGCAGGATCAATGTACAACATCTTTCTGGTAGTACATATCTCGAAGATCAAACCGATCAAGATATTCCCAGATCGGCCGGTAGCTCGCCAAGAGGAGTCAGAAGGGGATCGGGTGGACTTCGATGAAGCCCTCCTACCCGAAGATAGCTGAATCCAGGATCGGGATCCAGATGAATACGAAGTGGATCAAATTTCCGATATGAGAAGTGGCAAGAGGACTAGATATGGACGGATCTATAGACAATTTTTGGTACATTGGCGTGGATATGAAGATCCAACTTGGGTGGATGAAGCAGATCTCAATTGCGGCGCTCTTCTTTGTGAGTTCTTGCGAGATCGCGCTAATCGCAACCAGTTTGGAGTGATGCAATCTCACAAAGAACCGTGAGTTCTGGATCCATACTTGTGAGCTGGTCATATGTGTGGTTAAAGGTTGATGGACCTGCAAAAGGGTTGCAGATCGGAGGACAGGGTTTACTTGACTTTGTATATGATGATATGTCGATTGAGGATCTATGTGGAAAGAGATTGATTTAGAGACTGATATGGAGTGAGCAGAAACGAAGTCCGAATGTGGATCTAGGACTACATTACCTGGGAGATTATGGATCGAACCACGAATTACAAGTGTCGAGATATGGGAGTAAAGATCTGTGCGAAATAACATGATTGGAAACCTAGCGGAACCAAAGAATACTGGCGAACCCAGATCAGAGAGGAAAATAACATGTATTACGGTTAACGAAGATGATCTGGAAGAAATGCATGGAGAGGTGTCAGGATCACTGCTGCGGGCGAAGAGGCGGTGCGTTGGGGTTCAAGGCTGCCATATCAAAGAATTTGCCCGCGAGACGCGCGATCTGGCGGGCTGGATGACCTGCATGGTGCAGTCGATAGTGGGTACGCCATGGATCTGCAGCGTCACACTCGGCGAGAGCCTCGATGCGGGTTCGCGGCGGTGCAATTGTGGATCCGCGAGGTTGGCACTGCGAGCTTCAAAACCAGGGTACCAAGCCACTTCATCGGTTCGTTTGGGGAAGTGAAGGAAGTACGGATCCAGCAACAGATCCAGATCACACAAACCTTTGCGCATGGCGATCAAGAAGAGTTGCATAATTTGCTTCCACCTGGCGCCAGCGTGAGATCGACGGATCTTCCTCTCCACGACAAAGAGCGCCAGATACGGATCGCTGCGCACCAACGCCGGCGAAACTGGAAATCGGTACGTTGACGCCCAGTAAGCGATCAGATCTTGAAATTCCACCGCAGAATACGTCTCGATCAGGAATCCCAAGCGACCGTCGACCGTGATCTCAAAAGACATGAGTTCGGGAATGTTAGCGCCGCTCGATCACCCATGGATCCACGTCAGCGATGTTGTACTATACTGACGAGTCTGCTGGCGGCCAGGAATGCACACGTGGTCGGCGGCAAACAGACGCCGTGGAAGCATCGTAGAAACAAGAGGCATCCCGGCCGGATCCACAGGAGATCCGCCGCCACCACCACTACCAGGGCTTGAGTCGTCGCCAACGGAATCACCCCCCCCCCGATCCAGGATCTCCAGCTCCGCCAGCACCGGTGCGATGAGGAGCAGCGTGATCACGGCGCCTCTGCTCAGATCTGGATCGAGAAAGGGCCATGAGTGTTTGGGCTTGCAGCATGTTATCCAGAGTTCATCATTGTCGCCCTCGGTCGAAGTGTCGGCGTCTGACTATTGATCTTCTGCCTCCAGATCCGCGTTCTTGGAAGACTTAGGATCACCAGTGGATCGAGACTTGGACTTGGAGGCGGGATTCGAGCTTGCAGGGACACCCGATTTCTTGGATCCGTCCTTCTCGTAAGACAAATAACGCGGCTCGGGGGTCAGATCAGGACTCGCAGCTCCGCGATCCTTCTCCAAGAGTTCATCTAGTAAGGCGTGACCTGGATCCGGCGTCTCATCGGCGTCAGAACCGCCACCCATGTCATAGTTGTCCGGATCTTCTTCGCGATCCAGATCTCTCTTGTGATCTTCCGCCATTGGAGATTTGCGCTTGGAAGGACGATCCGCATCTTGAGAAGGAGAAGGAGCGCGAGACCGCTTACCCGACGGAAGATTCTGATGTTTGTCGTTGGAAGAAGACTCATCGGAACCGTTGGACGGAGGTGTGTAATCAGGATCGCGATCGGGTTTATCTTGATCCGACTTGTCTGGAACCGAGTTCCCCAGATCTGACATGTCTTGATCCGAATTTACCTGATCTGGCTTGTCTTGATCCAAGCTCTCTAGATCTGGTTTCCGTTGATCCGACTTCTCTGGATCATCAGGAGAACTTTCCGACTGGTCTTTGGCTGAATCTGTGTCAAGACAGGGTTTGGTGGTAGGAGGGCTTGATCCCATTCCGGCGGCCACAGTAGACAATATCTCCAGCGCCGTCCGTCGTTCGCGTCACAGATCTGTGCGCTCTTGATTAAGACTGGCCAGTTGGCGGTTCAGCGCCAGGATCTTGGCCTTTTGCTCCGTGATCGAGCGTTCCGCGTTGGCGTACGCGGTTCGAGCCACAGTGATATCGTGTTCTACAAGAAAGGGAAAGAGTTAGCGAGATGGTATGATCCAAATCAAGAACAAGGAACATACTCAGATCCTCGCCAGCATCGCGATATCCTTTCTCGCGTTTGGCCGCACCGGCGAGATTGACGCGCAGAACCTCACAGCGCGACTTCTCCCGCTTGAATTCTTTAACCCCTTCTGGATCTGTTCTCGGAGTGTGTCAGCCTCACGATCCTTAGCCTGGACTTGAGTGTTCAATGTATCACGCTCTCTGGAGACTTGATCGAAGCGATCTTGGAGCTCGACGCGCTCAGCTGTCAGGTGATCCAGCTTCGTTTGGAGATCTGACGACGGCGGATCCGGCGAGACTATGGCCGCGACTTGTTTGGCGACCAACAGATCTGCTTCGGTCCGATCCAGGGGCAGACACGCGTGGCGAAGTACCCCTTCGGTAACTTGCAACCTATCAGTGGCTTATCACGTGCGCGATCCGCCGTATCACGCTGCTCCTGCAGATCCAGGATCTCCGCACCGGCGTGTTCTCGCTCTTGTAATAGCTGAGTGACCTGCGACTCCAGATCCACGATCTGCCCTTCGAGGGTGTGTACGTCGGCGACAGACAGTTGTGGATCACTGGGAACTTGAGTGCTGGAGTCCAATGAAACTTATAACTCGTCCCGATCCGCCCGAAGACCGTTGATCGACTGTTGCATGTGTGAGATCACCCAATCCTGCTCTTGGATGTAGTCGCGGAGGTCGTCCAGCCGATCTTGGTGCTCCACTGACGGTGGATCTGAGCAGCGAGGCAAGGTCTGGGTCACCAGAGCGGCCGTGACGACGGAAGAGGCGCGTGGCGTAGCGATGACGTTCCTCACGCGTGCGGTGGGGATCGAAGGCGGAACCCAGCGATCCACCACCCGAGGATCCACTTGGGCTGGGGAGGTTGCTGGCGTTGGACATGAGATCTGCGACGAGTGACGAATAAGACAAAGTGTCTGCAGTGATCCTGTTTGGCAGCAACGACTACAGACAGGAGGCGATTGTGGTGAAGTGGATTCCGGGAAATTACAGACAGGAAGTGATCGGGTCAAGCGGGGTGACAGGTATGCCTGGATCTGTAGTGACCACCGTGGATCCAGATCTGAGAAGGTCTGATGGACTCAGATCAACTGATTCTGGGGTGATTGGACCAATCTGGAAAAACCTAATTATAGGCACCTGATCTGGGTATGATTATACAGAGGCCCCCCATACAGAGCCCCCCAATAAGCGCACCTTTCCATTTCAATATCAAATCCTATGAGCAAGAAAACATATTGACCAATCCTAGAAATGCACTGATTTTTGTAAACTATGAAATGAGCGGGAAGATCACCATCATCCCTCGGAGGGAGGGATTCCCTCCACGCGTGTACCCACCAAGTTAAGTAGACCATTGTAAGGCTGAGAATGGAGATAAGTTTTCTGAGGCATCTAGTGCCAGTGCCGCGCATGGCGCCTCATAGCCCACTTCCAATCTCTCGAAGCTACCATGACTGCCTGCAAGACACCAATCCGGATTCGCCTCAATCTGGAGCAGAAGATCGCCCTGTGCAAATACGCCAAGAAAACACGCGCCAAGGGCACATTAAACAACGTGGAGCTATGACGCGTTTGTTCAACTTAAGCAAGTCTTTATCTTGTGATGCAGCTCGACGCATCGTCGAGAAGGAGTCCGAGTGGTGCTCTTCTCTTCCGTGTCAGCTCCATCGCAAAAAGATTGTCAGCCACCGTATTCGCAAGACGGACGTCCGCATCATGAAGGAATTCAAGGGAATGGATGGTGTGGTTGAGGCAATTACTGGAAAGATGGTCAAGGCCGTTGCCATCCGTGTGAACGAAGTCACAAACATGAAACACTCTAAGGGATGGCTGTATAAGCTACAGCAGCGGCATGGAATTGGTCGCAAGAGGAAGTATGGTGAGTTGGCATCTGTAGATCAAGAGGCTGCAACAGAAGGACGCAAGAAAATGCAGAAACTCACGGACACCTACGATTGATCCAACATCTATAATATGGACGAAACCTCGTTTTTCTTTCAAAGCGAGTGCAAGATGACTCTCACCCAAAAGATGGTCGTGTCGGGGCGCAAG